AAAAATATTCTGAAGTGATATTCTTCGATTTCGATGAAACTTCGGTATATAATAATTCTCAAAAAAATATTCGACGCGTATTTTTTTACATCGACAATCGTCCACAGCGAAGGGGTGAAATTCGTTCTCAAAGATGAGTTTCTTCCCTCGTATGAAGAATTTCTTTTGACAATGAAAACACTACTGTAGCAGTTTCGAGAAATGTTTATTAACGTTCTAATTATTAGAAAAACGTGACACGATGACCGTCGCGTTTGGATTCCTTGTAAATTACCGGAAGTCGGTACGTATTTAATGCGAACAGAGGCGTTCCAGGGGAAAATAATTAAAGCTTCAACCGGTCAATTTGAAATCCCATCAATTTTTGAATATTCATTAACGAGACCGGGATTGCATACTAAAATAAGCTTTATTATTTTCACTGAACTATGAAGTTTTTCGACAGAATAATCAACTAGCATGTTAATTAAAAGCTGTTTCACTTCCACGATTATAAACATTTACCTTTGCATTAAATATTAAGCAATATTATCTGTACTCCGTTTGAAAAAATTTCCTTCCTCAGAAATTCCAACGAGAAATTGAATAATTAAACACTGTTTCGTATTACGTTGTATTTCAACGAACGAATAATTGTGTAAGACTAAAATCACTCATTTTAAAATACCGCATTGTTATCGATCGCGCGCGATGTGTATAGAATGAAGAAAGGAGGTTGTTATTGTTATAAAAAAAAAAAAAAAGGGAGTAGAGCATCTTGGAGCACGTAATAATATGCGAAGCTGGAAGCTAGGGCAGCTTGTTTACTCGCCTTGTATTCAAGAACATTTACTAGATATTGGACGCATTGTTTTCTTTCGACGTTTTCTATTCATTGGATTTTCCAGTCTTTTCTCCTCTTAGTTTTATTTCGAGCAAGAACACTCGTGTCTGAATTGCCACCTTCTCAACAATGGATACCTTATGCAATTTCTTTAAGAAGACCGTGTTAAGAAAGAGTTAATAAATTTGAATATGATAATAAATTTAGTATCATTTTGCGTAAAGTTGATACCGTGTTTGCAAGAATTTTTCTCCTATATTTAGGAATCTTAGAAATTATCTTTTTCAAAATTTTATTGCTATATTTAGGAATCTCAGAATTTATCTTTTTCCAAATTTTATTTCTATATTTAGGAATCTCAGAATTTATCTTTTTCCAAATTTTATTGCTATATTTAGGAATCTCAGAATTTATCTTTTTCCAAATTTTATTTCTATATTTAGGAATCTTAGAATTTATCTTTTTCCAAATTTTATCCCTACATTTAGGTATCTCAAAATTTATATTTTTCAAAATTTCACTCCCACATTTAGGCATCTTAAAATTTACCTATCTCAACATTTTTAAGGGTGTGAAAACATCCAGCATACGACATTCGCAACTTTTATTCCGCTTCTTTGAACGAATCACGGCTGCGTGGCAATGTATTTCTCGGAGAGAGATGCTATTACAATTTCCGTTTGAAAGAGTCATTTTTGAAACAGATCTGCACAGCGAGGAAGTGCATGCTCTCTGTTTCTCTGTTCTCCGAGCTGGGTATCAGTGACATAGCTAGTCGCTATCACGCTCTGTCCAAACTTGGAAACTTGACAAAAACCTTGTCACCCTTCGTTTTCGATTATGCACGGGTTCAGGATGTCAGCAGCAAAGGCTTGTTGAGCCATTAAAGTGGCAACGAGGATTCGATAAGGGCGAAAGGAAAAAAGAAAAAAACACTGCAATTCACGAGAAAGAGAATGATTCAGTGTATTATACATCGCAGCTTCTATATCGGTCCCTCCTGGCCATGGTAAAATACATTTTAATCCCTCAAAATGTATGGTCAACTCATTCTTTTAGGGATTCCAACGATGCTGCGTTCTGGTTATTTAAATGTTTCATACATGGTATTCATATTTCATATTTTATATTCATACTCTTCTTCTTTTCCCCTGATTTTAATTACCTCAGACCGATTTCCAGGGAAAAAGTTCCTTGAAAATAAACACGCTTGTGCTTAATTATTCCCAAGCAATTAGCGAGTAATTAAATTCTTAAGTAAATAAAGAAATGATCAAAGTATCATTTTCCAGGGAAACTTTATTCAGACGAAAGATTAAATTTCTTAGAAATCGTGTAAATATGTCGTAACATCGGTTTCGGTGTACGATGTTAATACCTTTATGGGATAAAATAAAAAAGAGAAAATTGACGTTTGCATTCTCGTTGTTTTCAGTTCATAGTCCTTCGGTGAAGTGCAGTTGTTATAATATATTTCACGTGATTCTTTTTTCTATTCATATTTTCAATGTTTGCACGAGTGAAATGTGTTTCCTTTCAGGGACCTGCTTTATCTAGAAATCTGTATTTCTTAGCACTGGGGTACCGCTAGGTTATGGAAAACAGTTTATCTATATGTTCGGTCACACAGATTCAGCAGGGAAACGAAAAAATATACGACCATCTGCTGTTTCATGTTGAAATACCTCTAATTTCCATTTCAGGCTAGTCAGCGAGATGTGCACTTGGAATACGTATTCACCTTTAATACTTCGTAGCAGGTAGAAGTTAAATTATTTCGATGCAATTTGTAGCTTTTCTTCAAGCGAATGTAATCTTAGTTTTTCATCGATACGCGAACTCGTGCATAATTTCATCTGAGATTTATCAGACTGAATCACCAAATTTCTCCTTCTGAATTCAAGTTTTACTTCGTAAAGAGATTCAGTGAAAATATGTAAACATAATATGTGCCTTATGAAAATTTTTCGATCGAGTCAATTATTTAAAAAAAAATAATGGCAAAGTTTGGTATCATTTTTAGGGGTCAGAGGTGATCTAACTTCTGCGATAGCAATATTCTCCAAGTACAGTGTCACATTCATTCGCAATAAATTACAAATGAACGCAAGTAGAAAGCAATATTACTCCACAAAGATATCTCTATTTATCCATATTTTAGCATTGTCCATATGACTTTTTCAATTAAATTTTCTATTTTGACTTTTTCATATTTTTTTTATAGGCAAAAGTATGCTCTTTGCAATGAGACCGACCCCAATTTCCTAGAATAACTATTAACTTCACAACTCACACTTAAAGTCACGCCAGACAATTACTTATCGCCTTAATAAAACCGACAAAATATCTTCAAAAATTGAGAAAATCGAGCATTCTCTTTTCAAGAGGTAGACGAGGTGTCTTCTTTCCGATATCCGAAATCATAACTTCAAACGCGTTTACAAAATGATTACCTCCACTTTTCCATATTCCTCCAATTTCAGTATCCTTTGATACTGAATTAATAATAGTAATATAGTTACTCACTTTGTCTTCTGAATGGCCCATACGGTCTACCTAAGATTCTCTCGAAGTAACATCTACGCGACCGTTCGTATAGACCGACCCCAATTTCCTAGAATAACTATTAACTTCACAACTCACACTTAAAGTCACGCCAGACAATTACTTATCGCCTTAATAAAACCGACAAAATATCTTCAAAAATTGAGAAAATCGAGCATTCTCTTTTCAAGAGGTAGACGAGGTGTCTTCTTTCATCCTTTTCTTCTTCAGATCCTGCCGATATCCGAAATCATAACTTCAAACGCGTTTACAAAATGATTACCTCCACTTTTCCATATTCCTCCAATTTCAGTATCCTTTGATACTGAATTAATAATAGTAATATAGTTACTCACTTTGTCTTCTGAATGGCCCATACGGTCTACCTAAGATTCTCTCGAAGTAACATCTACGCGACCGTTCGTATCCAGAACGACCGGTCGCCTCGAGTTATTCGTCAATGTACATATTTAGTGAATGGTGTGGCAGGTGTCAAAGGTGTCGGTAACTACGGATAGTAAGCGGCTCGTCGGTACGGCCATTAATTACACTGGCTAATTCCGCGAATTGGTCATTAAGGATCAGCTGTTCCGCACTTAATGTCAAGCTAACCGCGCAGTTCACTTCGTCCCTGATCCAACGATAGTCAGTGCTCCTTCGTACGACGCGGGACACTGTAATTGGTTTGTTGGAGCTTAACTAACTACCGGATAAAGTCGAACGAACCGGCGGCCGTTTAAGCACGGATTATCCAGAACGAGGTGAACAATATTTACTGCTAATTGCCGGGCTTTAGCTTTCCGATTTATTTTCGCGATAAGAAAATTTGGCGAACACGCAGCTGCCCGTGGGATTCTCTCTTCCTTTTTTTTTCCCCACCGTTTTTGTTTTTTTATCGGATTTTGACCCCGTCCCCCTTTCTCCCATTGGAGATTTATAATTTGAAAAGCTGGATTTTTGTTGTGTCGATACGATACTATTTTTTTTTTTGCTTTGTTTCGCGAACGTTCGATAGCTGAAAGAAGAATATGTTGATCTCGCGTTTGGCGAAATTGTTGCGTTATTTGTATCCTCTTTTTTGCAGGTTATTAAATTTAACAGAGCTGCAATTGACTCTTTAAAAATATCTCGCGAACAAGGTATGTCAAATCTTTAGAAACGAAGGTATACAAATAGAATTGCATTCAGTTAATGCTATTATGCTTCTCTAAACGAGGCAGCTAATTAATTAAACGTACGAAAGAATATTCAACGGAGTACCGTTGTTCCACGGAAATTTATAAATGTTTCGACGTGTAACAAAGAACGTCTGGATTTTTATTGAATCTTTATTTCAACAACCGAACGAGTCTCGCTCGATTATCCGAGCTACAATTCCCCGGATCTTCGTTCGTCATAAAAAGCGGCGCATTATTCGCGCATCGTACGAAGAGATTTAATCTCACAAATGAGATTCGAATGCAGACGCACCGATGCCGGGGTATTAAACAGAAATAACCTGCTAGCTTAAGCACACCTTTTGCCAAGAAAAAATTAGCCCGGCGGAACGTGCCTGTGCAGAGAAAACGAAACTGCTGCTGATCTAGCAATTAACTCACCTGGAGCTTCGCCAACTATTTATATCGCGCTATTATCATACGTTTTGTACCAAGGCGAGGTACAAACAGCCACGGTTATCTCTGCAGCTTAGATATTCCTGGAACGAGAGTACCATACTCGGTCTTAGACCTACTTCGATACGAAGGAAATTCGGCAACCTGAAAATTCAGGAAAAATTCGAAACTTTGGAGAAATGTGGTTGAAACGTGTAATACGAAAATTCATACTTGTTTAAAGTGGTGCGTTCCCCCTTAGGATCGTTTCATTGCCGAAACAAAAAAATGCTTTGGTAATTAGAGTCACTCGAACTACATTTCTACGAAGTTTCGAATTTTTTTCCCTGGTTTGTAATAGGTTTGTTCAGCTGGAGATGGAAAATGGATTTCTGAGGCATACTTAACACACACGAACGCTTCGAAGGTTTATTTTTGTTTTTATCTAATATTGAACAAGTGGTATAATATAAAAATGGCTTTAAACGTGGGATTTCATGGGAATTTCAAAGTAGAATTTTTATCTTTGTGATGCAATTATGGTGTGCACAGTGATGAGTTTCTCGCTTCGTTATTGACGTGGACTGCCGCTGGTTCGCCTGAAAGAAGCACGATCAGAAAATCTAATAATTTCTATTTTTTCGTGTGATTGCGTCGGTATTAAATTCACGAATGACAGAATAGTCAAGGAGAAGGATTCAGCTTTCACGTTTTCGCGAATCTCTGTTTTTAGAGGCAACAATCACGCGGACAGTACTTTCATATTTAGATACCGAAATGAAAGAGCTCTTATCCCTCCAACGTTCCACTTCTCTCGCAGCTAGGAGTACATTTTCACCTCGCTAGAAATTTTCACGGCTAAAGTAGCGCTCTTACTGATACTCGAATTTACGAATATTCGAGTATACTTGATTTAGGCTCTGTCTGAAACACTCTTCGTTTGCACCTGTATCTCACTCTCGTTTCAGGCTGAACACTCACAGATACTAAAGTAGGGCTCTTATTAATACTCGAATTTACGAATATTCGAGTACATACTTGATTTAGACTCTGTCCCTAAAAAAAACTCTTCGTTTCACCGATATTCTATCACTCCCAGATTTGTCATTTTGCTACTAATTTTAATAAATATTAAATAAATAGCGAATATTTATGTAGGAGGTTAATGACCGGAGCGGGCCGATCATACGGTTGAGCTTGTTTTGTTTAAATCCCTGCGATACAAACTGGCTAAACGGGGTTGTTCGTTGTTATTGAACAGGAGTGAGTGTGTTTGTGCGAATGCGGGGGTAATTTTAATAAATGTTATTTTTGCAAGTGCAAACCTGGAATTATGCAGGACAACGTTGTCGGATATCTGATTCTCGCGTGTTTGAAACTCGTTGGACGTCCTTCTGTAGAGCTGAGGATCCATGATGAGCCTAACGTTCACGGTGCTCTTCCACCATCTGTACCAAGGCGACAACTGGTCCTGACGAGAAGAGATTTGAAGAGTGAAGAGAGAGGGGAGAGAATCTGTACAAGCGGCCGTTCTTTTCAGGCAGATTTAAATTACCCACATAGTTTCGGTTGCCATGGGCAAAAGACACTTTGCTCGATAAATTAGCCGAGAGTGGCTTCGAAGTGGCCAGGCTTCGAGCTGGCCTGATCGAAACCGGGGGAGAAACTGATTCCGGGCTGTCACGTATTCGCGATAATTCTTAATTAAATGTGCACTGGCTGGATTTCGATTCGACTACTCGACGGGAATTGAATTTATGCAGCTAGGAACATGGTTTTGCTTGAAATTCTTGTCCCGTCCTTGTTGAGATATTCACCTCGGGAATGTGCTTCACCCTTCTTAGCAATCACT